CGGCCCCGGCACCCGAGCCCCGCCGCCGCCACGCCTCCCGGCGCGCCCCTGCCGCACTACCTGGGCGCCTCGGTCATCATCACCAACGGCAGGTGACCCCCGGGCCGGCCCGCCTCCCGTCTTACCCCACGCAGCAGATTTGAGAGGGGCGAGCCGTGTGTGCACGCCGGAATTAACTCATCCAGAAACAACTATTTAAACAGCAGTCCGCTGCCCACTTTTAGATTTTTACTGTAGATGCCATAAACGCTGGCGTAGGGGACCGAGACGCGGCCCGCTGCTGGGGAGAAATGAGCTCCCAGCCTGTTCTCCCACAGCCTGGCTTTTTGAGCTCTGGGCTGACGTCCTCGATGTCCCACGTGTGACCTCAACCACCCCGTTGTTGGGGGATCTTGGTTTCCTCGGCTCGAAATCAGGCTTAATGCATCTTGCCTCGCCTGCAATGCTCCATGAATAGTGCACGGGGGAATACGAGGAGTCTAGACTCCACACACATTCTCCACTGAAAGGAGCAAACCCCCACCCTGATGTAGTCAGAGGTTCCAGTTTGCTAGAGGACCTGGAAGGAGGCAGCCTCCTGCACTCAGAGCCCTTCTAGATTCTTAGGGAAAGGCAGAAAGTGCTTATGGTTAAGAACTACGAGTGCACAACTCCACTGACTGTAAAGGTCATTCATGAGTCTCTTTATTTTTTTAACCCTTTCTTCAATACAAAAATCTACCAACGAGAACTAAGGGTGAACTTGCAATTCCACGTTGCGTGTGTGTGTGTGAACACATAGGGGTGCTTCACAAGTACATTGGCAAGCTTTTCTTTCCCCCAGCCCCTCTGAACCCCTATGAACTCTTGATAATACCAAGAGTAGCACCTTCAGAATATAGGCATTAAATGCAAATGTATATATATATATATATATATATATATATATATATATATATATACAGCCAGATATTTTATGAGAATGACCCTGTCCAGCTTAATTACATGGCAAAACCCCTCTGGCCCACACAGATTGTAATTTGCTAGGCTCGTGTTTGCTACAAGTAGTGCTACTAAAGTTAGTTAAATTGCATGTGCAATATGGAAAACTGTCAATGGATTGCACCTTGTGAAAAAAAAACGTGCTAAAGGGATGTAATGAAAACGATGTACACATTTTAAGCCTTTTCTGCATTTTACACATAGCAAGACAACTTCATATGAACATGTCGTATGTAACAGGTAAACAGAAATCCTTTTATAAAGCACCAGCAGTGTTTTAAAAATATGCTTCCATTAATTTTTGCTTTATATTATTTTTGCTTAATGGTTTCACCATTTAAGAATCCTGTCATGGCTCTGAACTGGATTAGCTCTCCACACTATAAACATTGCATCATTTTGCTGCTTTTTAAAAAATGGTTTACCTTAGGAAACCCTTTCCATCTTTCTGAATGGAAAGAGGTTTTCACAACTGTTTTTAACTCAGCATTCTAGAATCAAAGTGTACCTGCGCCGATTGCTCTCAAAATGTGAACGATCTTCTGCCAACCCTGTGTCCCTTAGCAAAGACCTGACTTATTTCCTACAGGGTGTCAGTTGGCTTTATGGTACAAGTTAAAACTGGCAAATTTAGGAACGCATCATACAGCAAAGGGACTGGATAACAAGAAGGGATGCACACACTTCTCCACTGCATTTAGCTATACCTCATTGCAGGTTTTTGTGAGAGTGTGTGAACACATAAAATAAGCCTTCGGTATTCTTTTTTTATGCTCATGAGTCTCGTAATTAAACCACAATTTTTGGAAGGTGAGGATTTGATTAGCAGGAGATATCACCAACATTTTTCAATAAAGTACTGCAAAATGCTTTTGTGTCTACCTTGTTATTAACCTTTGGGGCTGAATTTAGTAAATATAAACCACGAAAGCTTTTGGAGAAGTTTGATTACAAAGGTTACTGTTGAGAAAAAAAGACCCTATTATAGATTTACAAAAATGATCAAGTAGGCTTAACAAAGAATGCATATGTACTTGAAAACTAAAATGTGTACTAGTGAAAACTTCCTTGTCTGAACAAACATCACAGTTTTCATAGCCTAGAACACGAAGGAAGAGTCCTACACAAGCAGGCTTCAAGACAGCCAGGGGCTCAATGCAAAGTTAACAGGGCAGTTACCATGGCAACCTAATATTGTTACCTCCATCTTTAAGAGTCTGCACGTTTAAACTGGGGAGATCATTTCTTGACTTCTTTGAGGCTCTGGCAGAGAAGAGGAAGCATTGTAATAAATATGCCTCTTTCACACAAAAAGGAAAAAAATCGGAGTGGGCATTGTTACCTCCATCTTTAAGAGTCTGCACGTTTAAACTGGGGAGATCATTTCTTGACTTCTGTGAGGCTCTGGCAGAGAAGAGGAAGCATTGTAATAAATATGCCTCTTTCACACAAAAAGGAAAAAAATCGGAGTGGGTCCTAACATGTACCATGTTGACAAAAATGCCAGATCAAATGGATTTGAGAAATAAGCCCAATTCAAGCCTGGCTCAGCTCTCCACAGGGCCTCCCAAGGAAAGGAATTCCTTTATGTTCTTGGAAGCCCTTTTCTAGAAAAGCCATTCCATTCATACCTTTGTAGAGAAGTGAACTGGGTGTGAAGGGCAGCCCTGAGGAAATCCGTAAGAACCAGTGTTTTCCGCCCCCTTCCCCCCACCGCTTTCATTCTTTTAGAAGTGCTATCGGTCAGGCCTTCCGCTTTCCCAGCCTAAGGGTGGGAGAGGTTTAATACAGTCAGTGCATCCCATATAAAGTCCACCCAAGTTTTAACTTACTGGAACTGTAAGGCAGTTCAGGCAGACTGTTGGGGCTGCTAGAGATAAAATGGAATAAAAAGAACATTTTCCAAATAAGTGACATAAAATTACAGTAGCTTAAAATTTTAGTGAATCGTAGCCCTTGGCTTATCTAAAATGCATTATTAATGCTATTCCTAAACTTAAGTATCATATATAAGGTTAAAATCTTGGAAGAAAAAACTTAAGACAAAAGTCAAGCAGTTTTCACAAAAGAATAAGCAAAACCCTAAAAGAACAATAGAGAAGAAGTTAAATTTATTTCTCACCTCAATTAAAAGGTTTTTTACTTTTGGATTATACTTTCATTCTTTAGAGTAACACTATTTTTCTTTTGTATGATGCATAATACATTTGTCAAAAATAAATCAAAAACAAAACCTCCAGCTTAATACCTAGAAATACGTACATATTCCTTACTATGTAAAACACTATTTATTTTGTAAAAATCTGTTTAAATATGAATAAAAATACTGTAACCAAAAGTAGTTGCTTATTTTCAGAAATAAAACTTGTGGTAAAAGTAAGAATGAGCCCAAACCAGATAGAAAGTCTTAAAGTTTATTTTGGTAGACTTGTTTTTTTATAGGCATGGGTTTAAAGTGATTCTTTTCAGACACAGCTGTTTGAAAAGCTAAAATGCAAAGGTTTATACTTTTTTATTTCAAAGATGCATAGTAATTGCCCAGGAATGAGGATTCTCCCTTTTCTGCCTGTTGAGAGCAAACAGGTCAAGAGAATGGAAGCCCATTCCACATTCTGAAACTGTCGGGTCAGGCAGCTTCTCTCCTTGTTCCAAGACTCGAGGGTGAGGGTTGACCATGCTCTCTATGTCAGGAGTGCAGAAACCCCGGAGGCCGCGGCCGCGGCCCCGGCCAGCACTCACCCACCTGGGCCCGTGCACCCAGCACTTGTTACCACAGGCAACAGCAGTGCGCTGCTGTGAAACGCACCGACAGTTTTACATTGGACACAAATCCTCCTACTTCAACACTCCTTGCCAGGATTCCCAGCGTTAAGGAGCACTACTCCAGCATGGGCCCCCGGAAGCCCAGTTACTGCTGTGTCCTATCTTAGGGGGCACTTCCCTGAGAGTCCCCCTGAAATCTGCTCCTAGCCTGGTAGGGAGGATGCCTTTCCTTTTACGATGCACAGCCTGTAAACCGGTGGTTAATCCAGTGTCCTAAAGCACATGCCAATCCTGAGTTTAGTGGCCACATTTTAAATATTATGAGGAAACTGCAAAGTTTCTGTTAAGACCTTAAAGCTCCTTGAGATCATAGATTGTGGGTGCGTGAACACCCCAAATTGTAGGGTATGGTGCAGCAGGTAGATAGCTTTCCCTAACACTGACAGCTATCAGGAAAAGGCCTTTATTCAGCTGCTGTATACGAAGCAGAATTTCAAGAATCTTTGGTTCATGTGAGGCAAAATCAGGCTTATGAAAAACACAGCATCTGCTTCAAGTCTATTTTGTCTCCCTCAAGACAACCGGTGTCCTGCACAATTGAGAACAGCCTGTTAAAAAGCACAGAGGCCAAGCGGTACACCCGGAACATCTCCATCTCCATGTGACATGGCCACACTTCATTAGTTTTAATTTACTGAAAGGAAATTAAATGATAACATTTTTTCCCAAAGCAGAATATCCAGAATAGGACTTCAGTTTAAAACAAAACATAGCATGTTTTTCATTAAATAACCCCCCAAAGAAATTCAAAAAGTAATGACGGCAACTCCGAGAGATGACTTGCCTTATATTACTAAGTTTGAGAAATGAAACTTGCAACATTAGCCTGGAGATCTTTGTCCTTCATGATATTTTGCAGATCCCCTCTCAACAGTGAGTCCATTTTGTAATTTTGGGGTGCTGTGGACTTTTATTTAAACTTGTCAATTCCAAAAGAAGTCTTGGGCATTTAGGAAAGAGTGATTTTTTTTTTTCCTTTTGGAAAAAATAATTCTAATTTAAGTCTTATTTTCAAAAATTATTTTTGAAGCTCTTTTAAACTTACATTTTCAAAAAACACATATTGAGTTGGTGTAGTTAACTAAACATGTTATTTTTTTCTTCCTATGGGTCCATCTGTGCCTTGCTAAAGGTAGACAGATTTTATACTGAAAACCACAAGTTTCTGGAGTTAGCCTGACTGGGTAAGACCTTGATAAAGATGGAGTTTACAATGAGGGGATTCTGTTCAAAGCTGAGAGCTCCAACCAAGTTTTCTTTCTACCAGTTTCAGCTGGGACTGGCAGTAGGAGAGAAAAGTAGACCAAAATTGGCCTTTTAAGGTTGAAAAGTAATGGGCATGATTCATAAGTTCAACAGAGATAGGAGTTACATGGAAAAAGCATGGAGTACATCTGGAAATAGCAAATGTATATCAAAAGGCTTCCTTTCTTTTGTTCTTCCAGGGAGGCTTTCAGCATATCAGAGTCTGAACGTCATCTTTTAAAGATACGCACACACATGCATGCAGGCACACACACACATTCTCCCTCCAAACTAATGGTATTCAGTATCAATAACATTTTCATTCATGGCAATATAAGGAAAAAGGGAGCGAAAAATTATGACTTACTAATAAAATGGCATGTATTCTATATTCTATGCACTGCAAGGTCTTGCAGGAATGCTCCACCTTTCAAAGTGAGCCCGAAACTGGCTTAAAAACTTCAATTCCTCCCTGGCATGTGGTATAGAGTGAGTCTTCATCTCCAGCTGTGAAAGCCAAATTATCCACCCACGTCCACGTGATGCCTAATCAACACTTTAAGGATTTTGAACTTGATCCCATCTCTTCACGATCTGTAGTAAATTTAGACTTAGGAAAGGAGAGCTCACATAATAATGTCAAAATAATTGACTGATTTCCTCTACAAGGTCATTGCAACCATACCAGCTAGATGTATTTAGACAGTGTTACCAGACCACACCACTAGGCAGAGAGTAACTCTTGGGAGTCTACCTTCTCTTTTCTTCATAGACAAAATAATAAAACAACAACCAAGTGCCCATGCACACTCTCGTAGAAGAATCCCTCCCTGAATGCTTATAAACAGTGATACCATACCTCTAACTCACCACTGGGCTGGTTGGGAGTCTACCTTCTCTTTTCTTCATAGACAAAATAATAAAACAACAACCAAGTGCCCATTCACACTCTCGTAGAAGAATCCCTCCCTGAATGCTTATAAACAGTGATACCATACCTCTAACTCACCACTGGGCTGCAGAGCGTTTTCTGATTTGTTTCTTAATAGTCTAGGGGTAAAGATCACCACCATTGGAAAAACATAACCCATTGCTGTTTCCATGTAAAACTTCCCCTCCCCAATAAACATAAATGTAAGTCTGAGGGGCGAAGGAATTTCACACCCTTCATTCCACAGCATCTTAAACACCAAATAAAATGACAACAACAAAACAAACCTACAAAAACAGAAAAATTGAAAAAAAAAATTAAGGAGTTAACATGAATTGGGCGAAGGAAAAATTCACTTACAACTCTAAATTAGTTTTGGAGACCCACGGGTGGGCGAGGAAGGGCGGCGGCAGGGAGCGGGACGCTGGCCTCGGGCCCCCACATCCCAGCTGTGTCCTGCCACTGCCCAGGCACCCTGCCCCATGAGTGAGGCCCCCAGGTCAGGCCTGCAGTGGCACCTGGCACTACGGCTGCTTGGGGAGGATGAGGTTCCTCAGCATGTCAAAGGAGTTGCCATCCGGATGCACAGTCTCAACCTCGCTGCCCGCCTGATGAACCTGAAGGAAGCCAGAATCGTCCAGGCCCACTATGGACACCACTGGCCCCTCGGTGCTTCCCAGACGGACTTGCTGACCACTGCAAATGAAGAACAGGGCACGGTCAGTGGGAAACGTGAAGGATGGGCAAAGACAATGAACTGAGTGATTATCCGTTACAAAAAGGGGCTGGGGGTGTTGTGGAGAGGGCTCAGGCCAGCTACACGCACAATGCAGCCCCGTCTGAGCTGACTTTCTCCAGCCCCTCTGAACTGTTTCAGTAACTTCCTAAATAAGCCGGCGGTGGACAGTGGGACAAGGAGCTGGCGTTTCTTCCCTCATGCACAAGGCACTCCTAATTCTGCTCAGCTGTGAGGAGGGCTTGCAACTCTTCCTCACTCCCTGGCACATTTAAGAAACACCGTGCAACTCTCAGGGTATTTTGGCTGAGTTTGGGGGGAAAGAGGCTGAGCTGACAAGAAAAATTTTATCTTATAAAATAAACTTGGGTAGCATCAACCACACACGAAACTCATTCTGATGCTACTTCTTTTAAATATTTTCCAAATATACCTGCTAAGTTACTTCCTTGTTAACAATTTTCAAAGCATAGATTTTTCCCCCAAATCTTTATTTTGAAGAATTTCAAACCTACAGACAAGTTGAAAGAATAATACAATAAACCCAGTACTTCCTCCACTTCTCTGAACACCACATGATAATGTTTTCCATGTCTGCTTTCTCTCTTCATGCTTCACACACAATTTTTTTTTTTTTTTGCTGCATCATTTAGCAATAAGTTGCAAGAATCACGACATTTTTATGCATAAATACAACAGTCCCCCTTTATCCTTAGTTTCACTTTCCACGGTTTCAGTTACTCCAGGTCAACATTGGTCCAAAAATTTTTAAATGGATATTTCCAGAAATAAATAATTCATAAGTTTAAAATTGTGCACTGTTCTGAGTGGTGCAATGAAATCTCCTGCTGCCCTACTCACTCCCACCCGGGACCTGAATCCTGCCTTTGTCCAGTGCATCCACATAGTCTACGCCACCTGCCTGTTAGGTGTCTTGGTCATCAGATCAACTGTCACAGGCTCACAGTGCTTGTGTTTAAGTGACCTTTATTATACTTAATAATGGCCCCAAAGCACAAGAGTAGCGATGCTGGCAATTCAGATATGCCAAAGAGATGCCATGAAGTGCTCCTTTAAGTGAAAAGGTGAAAGTTCTAGACTTAATACAGAAAAAAAAAAAATTGAATGCTGAGTTTGCTAAGTAAGAACAAATCTATTTGTGAAATTGTAGGAAAAAGAAATTTGTGCTAGTTTTGCTATCGCACCTCAAACTGCAGAAGTTATGGTGCATAAATGCTTAGTTAAGATGGAAAAGGCATTAAATCTGTGGGTGGAAGGCATGAACAGAAACAGGTTCCCAATGACAGCAGTTAGGTTTGGTACTATCCGAGGTTTTGGGCTCGACTGGGGATCTTAGAATGTGTCCCCCAAGGATAAGGGGGACTACTGTATATTAGCATGAACTCCTGAGACAAGAACAATCTCCTACAAAACCATAACACCATTATCAAGAAACTCAATCTTAACACATTATCGAATTTTATCTAATATACAGTCCACGTTCAAATCTCCCACATTGTCCCATTAATATCCCTTGTGGCTATTTCCCCCCACCTAGGACCTACTTATGGATCACACGTTACATTTAGTTGCCACGCCTCTTCGGTCTTCTTTAACCTCAAACAATTCTCCCACCTTCTTTTTGTTTGTTTGAAGACACTGACATTTTCAAAGTGTACAGTCCTGTTATTACACATCAGTGGTTCTCAAACTTCAGTTGCATGAGAATCCCCTGGAGCATTTGCTAAAACAGAGTGCTTGGCCCAGCCCCACAGTTTCTGATTTAGTAGGTCCAGAGTGGGACTCGAGAATTTTCATCTCTAACAAATTCCCGGTTGAGGCTGCTGTCACCTGGGAGTCACGATTTGAGAACCACTGTTATCTAGAATGTTCTACAATTTAGATTTCTCTGATCGTTTACTCACAGTTAGAATCAGACCAAACTGATTTTATTCTCTCTTGTGATGCTGCATTCTTCCCACTGCATCCCATGAGGAGGCATGAGATGCAATTATTGGCAATGCTAAATCAGTCAAGGTAGTGTCCACTAGGTTTCTCCACCAGAGAATTATAGTCATGCATTCCATAAGGACATTTTGGCCAATGATGGATTGCATATACGATGGTGGTCTCGTAAGATTATAATGCTACATTTTTTTTTTCCTTTTTGTCTTTTTTCGTGACTGGTAACGGGATCTCAACCCTCGGTGTCGCGCCCGCACCGTGACCGGCAACGGGATCGCAACCCTCGGTGTCGCGCCCGCACCGCGCTCAACCAGTGAGCAGACCGGTCTCTATATGGGATCTGAACCCTCGGCGGGAGCGCCGCCACGCTCCCAAGCGCCGCACTCTACCGAGTGCGCCACCGGGCCAGCCCGATAATGCTACATTTTTACTGTACCTTTTCTATGTTTAGATACATAAGTACTTAGCATTGTGTTACAATTGCCTACAGTATTCAGGAGAGTGACATGCCGTCCAGGTTTGTAGCCTAGGAGCCATAGGCCATACCACACAGCCTAGGTGTGTAGTAGGCTGTACCACTTAGATACATAAGTACTTAGCATTGTGTTACAATTGCCTACAGTATTCAGGAGAGTGACATGTCGTCCAGGTTTGTAGCCTAGGAGCCATAGGCCATACCACACAGCCTAGGTGTGTAGTAGGCTGTACCACCCAGGTTTGCACAGGTACACTTATGATGTTTGCACAACACCAAAACCACCTAACGACGCATTTCTCAGAACATACCCCCATTGTTAAGCAACATGGGACCCTATTCAGACCAGTGCTCCATTCCTCATTTTAAGACTCTGAACTTATAACTTAATAAAGGAATTTAAAAGAATGAAGATGAGCTGGCACTGACCTGTGTACCCAATATTTATAATAAAGGGGAAGAACACCATTGGGCCCTTGGTCCTGAAATGTGTCAATCAGTTTCTCTAGCACAGTCACAGATCTGGCAATGAGAAAATCCGCTCTCAAGGGCTTCAGTTCTGCTTTGTGCTGCTTGTTGTATTCTGCGATGAGGTCATTGATGCAGATGGTAGGGTTACTGTTGGTCACATTGAATCCACAGCCTACACAAAAACAAACAATTGAAAAAATGAGCAGCTGAACAGATTGCTGACATCACACGTTCCTACCCACCACCTGAAGAAAGTTAGAGACTTTACTGTGGACTTTCTGTTTCCTTGCCCTCATTTCAAATTTACTGTCTCTGGCCATCTTATATCTTTGAGACCATCTTGCCTCTCATCCTTCCTTTATTATTCTTGTTCAAGACCATCTCAACCTTACTGCAAATAAGAAGCTGGAAAAAAAAAAAACAGCCACATTTGATTGCATTTAATTCAAGCTATTAATGGAACAAAATTTCTTAGCGTTGTTTCTGAAATAACAATCCCTCAAGTGATCTAGCCAAGAACTGTAGCTCTGCACTGAGCCCAGTGAAAAGTAAAATCTCTTGTTTCTTTTTCTATTTGAATAACAGAATACATGCTCGAAAACAGAATTTTACTCAGGTCTTAAGGAATAAACTCTGGATTCAGAGATTCCAAACCTCGGTCATAGTGCGATCCTATAACACATCTTTTAATACTTTGTCCATGGAAGTCTTTGGTGCTAAGGTTATGCTCCTGGCAAAGAGCCAATGCACAGTCAGTGGCTCTTTAACAGGCTCATAAACCAAAGCTTCAGGAGGGTGCATTCCCAGAGGTGGTGTCTGAATAGGCTAATCTGTGCTGATCCTTAATACTACCATCCTCTCAGGGAGAGCTTAGCATCTTCAGAAAAGCTGAACCTCAGTTTTCAGCAGGGCCCTGAACCAAGCTTAAAGAGGTCTTCAAAAAGAAATGAAATCCTGCAAGAACTAGGCAGTAAGACTATCATGCTTTCAGTGCCTCTAAGAAAAAAATTCCCCAAATATTTGCCTTATATAGAATGATGACATTTGTAAGAACGGTATTCTTTGCTAAATGTTCTACCATTTTCAGTAAAGGGAAGGAAAGGATTGATGGGCCTCCGATTTAAAAAAATGTATATACTGGCTATTAAAAATGCAAGCAATGTAAGATACATATGGAAAAAACAAGTAAATATAGCATCTGAGACAGATTTTACAATTGTTCATTCAACAATACGTAAGATAACTAAAGCACACTGCCATGGTTTGAATGTGCCACCAAAGTTCACGTGTTGGAAACTTGATCCCCAATGCAACAGTGTTGAGAGGTGGGATCTTTAAGAGGAGATTAGGTCATGAGGGCTCTGCCCCCATGAACAGATTAATGCCATTATTGTGGGAGTGGACTCCCGATAACAGGATGAGTTTGCTACCTGCCTTTGGCTCTCTCTCTTCCTTGCTCACCCTCTTGCCTTCTACCGTGGGATGACACAGCAAGAAGGCCCTTGCAGAGGCTGGCACCTTGATACTGGACTTCCCAGCTACCAGAACTGTGAGAAATAAATTTTTCTTTAGAAATTACCCAATCTGTGGTATTCTGTAATAGCAACACAAAATGGACTAAGACAGCACCTATTGAATGTAAGGTGTCAAATTCAATGCTGTATAGTGCTGAAAATTCTCCCTTGCATTCAGAAAATTAAAATTCCCAGGGAGAATAGCAACACTGACTACTGTCAACTTAGGCTGTGTCCTTCCAAGGACCAGAAGGACTCCTGCTGGCATCTCTGAATCTTTCCCCGGATAAAGGCTCCCTCCCACCTCCCCATAACCTTAAGAATTTAATAAAAACTATGGATTCTCCCCATAGGAAAATGTTTCTTTTCCCCCACATGATGAAATTCTTTAGCTCCCTACAGTCATCCATAGGCCTCCTCAATATCTGTAGACTCTACACAGGAATCTCTGCGTCTTGTCCAATTATTCGTGTAAAGATGGGAAACAGAGCTTTAAGGGTATGAAGTAGCTTGTCCATAATAATGTCGCCAGTTGGTAGCAGAGCTGGAAACATAAGCCTTGTATTCTTCGGTTGGCACTTCAAACACACAGTCACATATTTTCTATCCATTACTGATTCCTGCATACCAACGAAGTTCTACTGGGCATTAGGGGAAGGCTGACAGCTGGATGACCAAGGGCCTAAGAACTTCTGGAATTCCCTCTGAGTCCATTTCCTTGCCTGATTTGAATGTGCTTAGGTGAAATGGAGATTCTTTATCCCACTTTGACCAACTGGGAGCTTCTTCAAAAGGTCAAAGAGAAGGCAACATTCTCATGGCCTGGGAAGGTCAAGTTAAGAATGCAAGACCACCAGGAGAACTATCTTAGAAATCAACTTTCTTTTCTCATTACAGAATGGTACATTAAACTTTTATTTTCACCATTTCAAATGCAATAAGAAGCAGGAGTATTGTAAGGTGTAAGAAAATGCCCATTTCATGTGATACCAATTTGGTGGTTTCCATTGTCATAGATAGGAAAGGCTAAACCTCTTGAAGCACTTTCAACCAATCTGGTCGTCTATGCATACATATCATGCTCTCCAACTACAAGACTCAAAGAAAAAGTAATCTCATATGACTATCTGCTCCTCCCAATGGAGGCATGCAATAAACCATTTTTATTTTTGTTGTTTTATTAACCTAAAAATGCATGCAATAAACCATTTCTATTTTTGTTTTATTAATCTAAAAATGCTGGGGGAAAAGTTTTAAACACTTACCAATAAGTATATAAAACGTTTCTCCCATAAGTGTTGAGTTAACCAGAACTCCACCAATCTTCATGAGGTCACTGTAATAAATATCGTTGGGCCACTTCACTCGTAAGTTGATATCCTAAAGGAAAATCTTCACATTAATTAAGCAATCACAGGACACAAAAGGACTGGGTGGAGTCATCTAGATAAAAAGGAAGATGAGCAGAATACTCTCAAAACTAATAAAACATAAGTCCTCATCCTCCTTTCTCAGACAGCTAATAGCTTCTTGGGGACCATGCACAGGTATTAAAGTACCTCTTGGGGCTAGAAGTCGAGAGACCTGAAGAACATATTCAGCATAAAACCCAGCATTCCCCCCACCCCCATCACTGTTTCTCATCATCAAAAACACTTCCTGAAGACACCTACCTTGTGAATCAAGTTCATTATCTCAGAATCAACAACAACCATCAAGTACCTATCATGTGCTTGAGTACATATCATGTGCTTGGAGCAGGGGCTGGGAGAGAATAACAACCTCAGAGTTCATTTTCTTTAAGAAGCTCATGCTCCAGAGACAAAGATGGCCCTGAATTAACCAACATCATAAAAGGCAGGTAGGAACGATTTGAATAGGATGCTGTGAAGATGCAGAGGAAGAACTGATTTTACTGAGTTATTAGAGAAAGGGTTGCAGAACTGCTGACAGTTAACCTGGGTAACAGAAATGGACTTGTCATGAAGAGTGTGACCTGGGGGACTCTGCCTATGCCCCAGTCACAGTGGAATGGACCAAAGGTGGACACTGCCTCAAGCTAGGCCACCCAGACCTCTGCTTCCCCACTGTAACTCTGTCATTGGGACACCAGACTGAGTTAGACCTTGGGGTGTCAGAACCACCAGGTCTCATAGACCCAGGGCTAGCAGCCAGGTTGTGCCATCTGTGGGTAAAGAAAGCCTGTCTGGCAGACATGAGGCTTGAAGAAAGACACTCAGCAAAATAAAGCCATGAGACCAGCGAGTAGCTGATGGCCTCCAGGTTCCGCGGGCTAGCAGCCAGGTTGTGCCATCTGTGGGTAAAGAAAGCCTGTCTGGCAGACATGAGGCTCGAAGAAAGACACTCAGCAAAATAAAGCCATGAGACCAGCGAGTAGCTGATGGCCTCCAGGTTCCGCAGGGCTGGTCTTCCTGCACTGTGAGCCAGGCACGGCACCGAGCCCCTGCTCAGCTCTAGTCTATGTGTTACTCACACCAAGCCCAAGTGTTGGTGTTAGTATCATCCCTATTTAACAGAGGAAGACACTGAAGCTTAAAGAGATTATGTGGCTTGCCTGGGGCTATACCACTGGGAAGTAGCAGAGCTGGGATTCAAGCCCAGAACTTTGTGACACCAAGCTAGGTGCTTAACACAGTGCTCTGTAGCCTGTTGCTTCCACGAAACACCCTTCACACCTTCCAACAGGCCTTCTTTTTACCTCAGCCAGGTGGAGCTCACCTGCCCTAGCACAGCAGTCTAGATTGGGAACAGAAGGAACAGGAAGCACAAAAGTATAAATAGGATGTGGGGTGTCACAATGACCCATAACTGATAAGGAGCTTTGTGTTTCTCTTCTGTCTAGAATAGGGGATCTCGATGGTGGGGAGAGGCATTTGGAAACGCTGGGAGACAATTTTGGTTGTCACACCTTGAGGGAGTACTACTGGTATCTAGGGGGTAGAGGCCAGGAATGCTGCTCAATGTCCTATAACGCACAGGATGCCCTCCTACAACAAAGATTAGGGGCCCAAAATATCAGTAGCTCCAAGGTTGAGAAGCTCTTGTCTAAAAATTCCATAACTTGGAGACTTTGGTTTTTGTTACTCTCCCAAATTGTCAGATCTAGTTAGTTAATGAAGCCTCTTATGATGCAGGTAAACAAGAACTTTGATTCAAGGATGAAGAGAAGGGCCACATTCATTCAGACAGCTGCTGTGATCCTCCCGTGTATAGCACTTTGCTGCCAGCTTTGCAACGGGCAGATTGAGGCTCTACACTCACCAATAATTCAGACGTATGCTACAAACAAAAACAAGCTCCCTTTGCATGCTCAATAGGGATGCAAAGGGGAATTAAACCAGACATACCTGATACTCAGGAATGGACCTTACTGCCTCCACGACAGCCAGGGACATCAGATGCTGGACAAATGGAATCCTCTGTCCCAGCTGGGACCTCAGTGGGATGGAGACGAGCAGAGTAGAAAGAGCACATCCTTCAGGGCTCAGCCAAGCATTCCTGCCCCGCCCTGGAACACAGGCCCCACTGGGAGACGTGCCTCTTCACCACAGGAGCATACGCAGACACATGCAGTGCAGACAACGTGACTGAGGACTCAGAACCACGCACGGGAGAGATGTCCCATTTGAATAAACCTGGACTTATTAAGATGCTTGGACAGTCTGGGGTTAACTCAATAGAGAAAAGCTTTTGAAAACTTGAAGTCCTGTTGCTGAAAAAGTTTCTGATAATTAGCATAAGGTTCTGCCTCTATGAGCATATCATTTAAGCTTTGATGATTCAAAATCTGACAGTGTCTGAAAGTCACTCTAAGATTAATTCTCTCCATATGGTCATGAAGGTCAAAACAGAGCTGGGAAACTGGGCTGAATCTATGATGATCCAGGAGAGGTCCTGGAAGCCGCTTTTTGAAAGTGATCCCTATGGTGGTGATGGTCAGACAACCCAGTAAATATACAAAAAACCAGAGCTGTACACTTTATTTTTATTTATTTATTTTTTTAGTGGTTGGCTTGTATGGGGATCCAAACCCATGACCTTGATATTATAAGGCTGCACTCTAACCAACTGAGCTAACCGGCCAGCCCAGCTATACACTTTAAATGGGAGAACTGTATGGTATGTGAATTATATCTCAGTAAAGCTGTTTTAAAAAATGAAAAAAAGTGATTTCTGATATTAATTCTGTGAGTTGTTACTTTTTTTAAAGTAGAAGGCAGGAAAATAAAATAATCAAAATGACAGGTATAGTTAATCAAAGTTCTCCTATAATGTCCTTTTGTTTTAATCCACATATTGAGACCCACAGCTATTGATAAAATGAATTTTTTTCTTTTTGAGTTATGTTCAAGAGACATGCTCAAGAGAAAGAAGTGGGAAACAGTAGATTCCTTATTTCTTTGCCTCTTTTGAGAAAGTCCTAAGAGCCTCTGAGGGTTGAAAGCATACTTGGGTCAGCCTGGCGCCAACTGTGGGCAGGAGGAGTGGGGACCAGCCATCCTGCAGAGCCCCATCAGGTGCCTCCTGCACCCACACAGAGCAGGGAACCAGCTCACACCCAGATCCCAGGTGGGTTCTGGGTGGATGCAGGCTCATGCCTCCAGGACAAGCAGGTGGTGGGGGCCCTGGGCAGTCCTCCGCTTCTCTGTGGTCATTTTGTGAACGGGCATTGACTGAGGGCCTGCTACATGCAAACTCCAGTGCCAACTGGGGTGGGGACTGGCAAGTGAAAGGCCATGCCATGTGTAGACATTCAGTGTAGACACAGAAGGCACCTCACAGAAAACCTTCAGGAAAATAAATGTTTCTAGAACACAGTTACAATTCACAAATTGCAAAGCCCAGAATGTGCTGGAAAGAAGAATTTACAAGATGTAGGTAATCAAATCTTAAAGTCATCACAAGCAAATGTCGAGTGATTAATAATTATTACGTTTGAGAGAATGCTTTAATTCTACTAAGAATAAATCTACCAATCACTGTTTCCTTCCCTCTTCCTCCATTTCAGGGGGTCATGAAAACAGAAACGACTTCTAACTTGAGTTATGTACGTGATCAGTACACACCATCGACAGGCTCTCTGGCCACAGGAGTCACAGATTTCAGTCAGGGGGTCATGAAAACAGAAACGACTTCTAACTTGAGTTATGTACGTGATCAGTACACACAATCGACAGGCTCTCTGGCCACAGGAGTCACAGATTTCAGAAAAAAAAAAAATAACAGCAACAATAACAAAATATAACTGACCTTTGCCCTGGGTTTGCCGGACTGCGATCGCTATTAAACCCATTTCCTGAGGCATCTCGAACATCAACCTGCAAACAGTGAGAAAGACTGGTCAGCCAGAACAGGGATGCACACAAGAGAACCAGCAGCTCAGACAGTGAGGGTGACAGCGTCTGTATTCATCTGCAAGTGTGTGGCTAGGAAAAGCCAACTTCGGGTTTCAACAATCTGCAGAAATGCAAAGCCAGGAGGGACACTGCCCTCCACTGTAGCCTCTGCAGTGACACTGACTGAAAAGGGATGAAGAAAACACCATTTAATAATCAAAAAGAGGGTGCAGGTGTACCTGCCGGAGCTGTTAGTCTATGTAAGACTTGGCTAGATTATATTTCATCGGAATATCCTATCAAGTGCTTTCTTCCCCCTCCGATGTGTGCACCTTCTTCAAGTGACAACTAGCAATTCCTGACATTTGTTTCTAGTTACGGTGCATTTCTGTTCGAACACAAGAACACAATCATAACAGAAGTTTCTGATTATTCAGAAAACCAATATGGTGGCAATAAAGCCGTTTAAAAGATACACTATCCCTTGAGAACTAATTATGTTTTAACTATAGTAAATAAATCTACACCTTCTGAGAACTCAGGAGGACCCTGGATCATTTTAGGCCTCAGTTCTGCTTTTAAAATGGTTTCATTTAAAAGAACACAAATCTCCCTTTGGGGGACAGGCAGAAAAGCATACTACATCTCCACCAAATGAGTCAACATTAGCTTTTCTTCACAAAAGGAAAGGGGAAAAAACACACAACCCCTCCCTCTGAGAATTTGTTCCAAGCCACGTTCTATGTACTGCAACTGCAGACTTAAGGACAGCTTTCCTCTGCATTCCTGGTAGTTGCTGATCAGGTACTAAGCACACTGAGATTGTGGCAGGATTTATTAAAGAGAGCTAGATCAGTTTGCCTGTTTGTCAGTGCAGCCGTGAGGGCCTCTGAAATAAGATGTTTTTAGGGAGGGGAGCAGCCAGGGCAGGGATGAGGAAGGGTTGGTCTCTTGTATTAACATAAAGTTTCCAATAATAAGTCTCTAGTGATCCACAGCACCCCTGCTCAGGAGAAGGGGCTCTAAAGAAAGACCACGCTCTGAGAAGCTGTCCATCCTCTTCTCTGGGCTAAAGGAACCAGGTGGAACTTTACAAATGGCTGGAACTCAGTAAGAAAAGTAAAATGCTTAAAAGCAGAGAAAAACCACACATGGCATCCCCCTGTGCACCAGTGGTTCTCAGAGCTCAGCCTGCTGGTGTGTGCAGCCCCCGGGTTAGGACAGGGGCAGCCCAGAAGACCCTTTACTTGTTAAGAAGACCCTGAGCCACGTGGGGCAGGGGCTTGGCTGGTGAGACAGCTTCTTCTCACATGGCTGCTGGAACAGGCACAGGGTACTCTCCATCAATGTGCCCGTCCCACTTCCATCTCATATGAAATACAGCTCCAGAAGTATTTCTCTTGGACTCCATGAATAACTCATTGAGATCAAGTGTGCCTGTACACCGCTAGGCTCCACCAATAAAGCTTCCTTTTCTCATGTCAGACAGGCAGAAAATCCTAAGAAGGATTCTTTGTCCGTGCAGGGAGTTAACATTGTTTTCCAGGAACCTCTGCTTTCTAGATGGCCTCAGCAACCCTCCACCTGGGTTGCTCAGGGGCTCTCAGAGGGGATGGGGGGGGGGGATGATGTAGCACATTGTGAGCAGATTGCAGGCAATCTAGGATGTTCTTTAAATAATCTCAGCAACCCTCCACCTGGGTTGCTCAGGGGCTCTCAGAGGGGATGGGGCGGGGGGGATGATGTAGCACATTGTGAGCAGATTGCAGGCAATCTAGGATGTTCTTTAAATAAACATGTAGACAGTAGACAGTCATATGCTGTAGCCAAAAATGGTGATGGTGGAAGGTGGGGGGCAGGAAAAAGGTGGTTCAGAAACCAAACACAGACTTCTAGAACAAAGAGCAACGATTAAGGGAACATATGCACTAAACTGCTAGAGGTTTGGCAGCAGTTAACAGGGCATATTAATGAGAAGAGGGAGTCTGCTGCTGAAGGCGAAGAGGAAATTCTGCAAGGAGGGAGACAACGGGGAAGGAGCTAATGCTTAGTCTGAGACAACTGGAGGCCGCCAGATTTATTTGTGCTATCTGAGATAACTCTGGGGGCCAAACCACACGACTCCCGTTCAACAAAGAAGCATTTATGAACTTGGTAAACTGCATTTCTGAAAATGAAGCTGCTTGAGTTTGCTTTAGCAAAAAGGGGAAACCATAAATGCATTTCCAATCCTTAGCTGATGATGTCCTTACAAAAGAAAAAAGGGGAAAAAAGTAGGGGGTTATATAATGATTACCTCCCTGCCTCTGTATATTTCCTTTCCTCGTTGGCAAAGGTTGTGGAATAAAAGGTTTCTGTGAGTGGCAGCCGAGTGCATTCACTGTAGTACCAAAGGGGCACTCAAGAAAAGCACTCTATTTTGTACTCTTGTGTTCGGAGTCTGAAACATCAGGAGCCCCGTACGGGTCACTTTGCAAATGAGACAACCTCGTGACCGCTTTGGTTACTGAGTATATACCACAGTACCCACGGGGTGCTCTGCCAATGGAAACATCCTGATTATCATGTGATCATTAAGATTAAGCTTCAATAATTAAGACTAATCCAGGAGAAACAGGCCAGCATGAATTAGTGAAAAATGTGAATGAACAAAAATTTAAATTCAGATCCAGTCCATCCACTTGGGGTTCTGAACCTAAGGAAGTAGTCCACATTCGCCACAGGGTTATAAAAGAAATAATTTGAAAATAACCTAACTATTCAATAGGGGAATGATTAAATAAATTATGGTACATGAATTCAATGGAATGACTTGTAGTCATTAAAAACGATAGTTATAAAGACTATGTAGCAACATGGAAGAAATGCTTGCAATAGAATTTTTTTTTAATGTTAAATAAAAAAAGATATAAAAACTACATATACTTTTATTCCGATTATGTAAAATTCATAGAAGAGGGAGGGAAATTTGACAAAATATTAATGGTGGCTATATTAGGACGATTTTTTTTCTTTATTTTTAAACTTTTCCTTAATATGATTGGTTAGCTTTTAATTTAAAAATTGGGAGGGAAGGAAGATTTTGAAATTTGGGGGGGAAAAAAGCATGGTTTTTACATTTAGATATAATACTTGTAATTAACTAGTCATAAATATTTCTAAGGATAAGACCAAAAGATCTGCTTTAAAAATAAATAACACAGTCAGTAACAGTTACCTGCAGCACCCATTTTATTATAGCTAATGAGCAACAGACTATTTAATAGTAACTGCTGAGCAGAAATTCTTAAAACCAGTCTGTTCATATGCAGACAGCCTTAAATATTTTCTTTTTGACCCAGAAACTGTACTTCTAGAATTGAATCCTAAGGAGTATTCAGAGAGGGAAACAGAAGAATTCAAAGATACAACTATTCACTACAACATTACTGATACATTGTGAAAAATCAGAAACAATACAAACAGTCCATGATAGAGTAATAAAAAAAAAAAAAATCATTATATCCCCATGAGACTACCGTATAGCCATCCGAGATACAGGCAAACGTCCATAGGACATTATTAGATGATTTAATTAGGATGCACAATCCTTTCTACAACATGATTCCAATAATGTTTTAAAATATGCTTTTTAAAATTATTAGGAAATATTCCAAAATATTAGCTGTGGTTATCTCAGGGAGTAGAATTATTTGAAAAATATAGTAAAATACAAAGCAGAAAATAAGTCATCCAGTTAAGTCCATCTTCTCATTAAAAGTGTATATTCTAGAATCTTTCTCCTTTTAAAAAAATAACATAGATACATTTAACAAAATATGTTTCTGACGACTGGAAAGTTTTTATTTTGGAGCTATTAAAATGATGTTGTAGATGTATAATTATGGACATTCTTATTATTTTGATAAGTCCAAAAAAAAAGGAAGGCTTAAAAACAGTATCATAGTATGATTCCCTTTATGTAAGATGTTTATTTATAGAAGAACACAGGACACATAGTAGCAGTGGTTATCTTTAGAAGGTGGAGGTAGATTTATATGATGATTTTAGTTTTTTCTTTATATTGTTCCATGTAATCTCTGAATGGTAAAATTTCAAGTGGTTTTCATTTCCTTTTTTCTACTTTTCTGAAATTCTCAATATTTCTACAATTGGAGCATATTCATTTTATAATCAGGAACAATGTTATTTTAAAAGGACTTATTTACTTAAACCCAGCTTTTCTTCTAAGTAGGTTAAACCTATGTCTGCCAGCTCGCTAACTGGCAAAACAACCTCTTTTCCATAGTGATCAGAGAGTCACAGTGAGAGGGTGTCCAGCTGCAGGAGGCTTTTCCAGGCACGCCTTTCGGATCACCCTGGAACCTGGGTGACACACATGTGGCCATGCCATGTCAGGCGTCCCCTGCCAGTCTGTGTGGCCTGTGCCGAGGCCATTATGAGGCTGGCATTCACAGCCACTGGGGGCAGCTGGCCTCTGGAAGCCACTCATTGTGCCATTCTTTATCTGCATGAAGAAACCCACCCCGTTGCAGTAAATCCAGCGCATCCATCCTGGGGCACCATGAGCTTGGTTGGCTCATGGTTCTTTTCAGCTCTGGAGAGCGCAGCCTGGCACCATGCTGTGCTTTTCTTTCTTGTCTTCTTTCCCCTCCCAATTTTCTCAGTTCTGACTCCCTTTTCTTAGCTGTCAGAGAGATACATATTCTCAGGCATCCCCGCCCCCCCCCCAAGATTTTCCATATGTGGAAAAAAAACTAAACAAGGGGGTGGGAAGGAGAAGCGGGGAGAAGGGGGACCCAGGTAGCAGCTACACATGTAAAGTTCACTACTTATTTTTGATTTTTAAAAACTTTACCGAAAGATGAATTCTCACTGTTGACTTCTGTGTAGTTCATAGGAAATAGTGAACTTTACTACAAAAAAAACTTTTTTTAAATGTATTGCATTGTGAAAACCAACCATTCTAAAAAGTTAAAAAG